GGGCTACCCTGAAATGCATATTATTTTCATCAACTGGTCATTGAAGTTAAACCAAACACTAAACAAAATAAAAGGCGAATTGAACGGTAYGTACGGACATTAATAACTTTTTTTGTAATTTGTGTACTATAAGTCATTCTCTTTTAATATCCTTTATAGCAGGTTGACACTTTAATGCACAACGCCAATGCTTCCGTCGTCGGCTTCGATTGATCGGAATTATTTACCTCGGTTGCGCCACTTCATCTCCATTGATTAAAAATCTACTTTTAAAAAAATAGGATTCAAAGTAAAATCAATATAAAGTTCACTGGAAAATGAGATAGATATTATATATTGATTCACTAAAAATAGTTCTCAGTCAGTTTCTGCGCTCCGCAGTATAATCAATATATATCATCTGTTGCATCATCATCATCATCATAATCTAAGCTTATATAGCGCTTATATAACTTTTTCTAAGCGCAAAATAAAAGGTAAAAATTAAAATGAATAAGTAATTGTTCATCTCTTGGTAAAAAAATAAAAAATAAATGGGTAATTAATAAATAAATAAATAAAATAAATAAATGGGAAATTGTTTATCTCTGTTTGTAATTGTAAATGGTAATTGTTCATCTCACTGTATTTAAATACGTTAAACAAGAGATATCAAGTTACTTATCAAACACTTTATTAAACACATATCTCAGTATTACAACAATGCTAAAATTACTACGAATTGAAAATTCATCACCAGTCCCACACATCGTGTCGCACACATCGCGCGTGGACTGGTACATTGTAAAATAGTTGACTGCATTTCTTCCTACCAAAAGCACATTCACAGTGCACTGCTCCTGACTTAAAAATACAACTTCGAGTAATTACAAATATATAAGTGATTCTATGGATATGTTTACTTGGTAAATATTGCAATTGAAAGAAAAATAAAGGTTCATGATCAACCGGCATCCCTTTCGAGCTGTTATTYTCTATGGATGTTCRTATTGTAAAATTTGGGCTTCARTYCAAACGATGGAAACGGATTGCGAATGATGACTGAATTCATATCATTTTACATAATTGTCAAATCTGAAAGACAACCGCATTTAATGCCGGTTAACAATGRCCCTTTAAGGTATGTTTTCGCTTCTACAATATCTATCTATTATGCTGGCTGTTTTAGGAATGGTGTCCCTACGATTGAGAGAACCTTGTTAACCGAAAACAGTTTTATTAAATGAACAAAACTGTTATCTTATTTACAGTTATCATTTACAAAAGTGCTCTATTCACTGGCTTATAACTCGACTAATATCGACCAATTTGATATCATAATCGATGCCATGTTTGATAAAATTGGATTTAATTAAACAATGGTCAAACTTGTAATACACACTCAAATTACATGAGAAATTAGTACAATGTAATAATTTCCACAAATTCTTTCGTTCCTTTAAACTATATATCCCTATTTAGTCGTATTAGCTAATTTTTCAAGCTCATTCCAAACCACATTAACCAACATGGCTATCAAAGTCGTAGCTAATTATCATCCCCTTCGAGATAACGGAAAATAAGCTAATCTAAGCTCCATGGRGAGTTCAATTTTTGCAATGGAAACGACTGGAATGTAAAAATCTCGAGGACKTTCTTAAATCTGCGTCTCCATTCTCGAAATGAAAAGCCATTCCGCAGATTCTCCTCTCGATGGATTAAAACTAAAATATATTTGGCATATCTACTTATTAATATTAATGCATTTTAAAAAATGTTATCGCGTATTAAGATTTTGCCATTTTTTGTATATAAAATGTTCATAAAAC